TTAAATTTTTTTTTCTAGTTCTAATTTTTTGCTTCAATTGTTTTGGGAGATTTGATTAAAGTTTATAACATTTTATTTTTGTCCACAAAGTTGTCATTTTAACAAGTTATTTCTCAAACACAGTATGGACATACTTGGAATTACACACAAATACACATTTGCTTTTTTTTTTTGAATACTGTATGGGGATACCACATATTGTATATGAGACTTTTTCCACAGCCTGGATGCGTAGAGGGAACAAAATCCAAAGAGCAGCTTTGGGCTTTCAGGGGGAATAAATTATGCATCTGATTTCCTGACAACCTGTCACATTTGGAAATACTTAGAAGTAAACCCCAAAACACATTCTGCTCCTGAATATGGGGATACCATGTGTGAGAATTTTAACATTTGGATTAATGATGTACCTGGCATTACATGACAAACAAAATCCCATTCATTTCTGTGGCCATGTTCACCTATGTACGGTTTGTCGCTTTTGGCAAGACGCCAGTCGCTAGTAAAAGTACATGAGCTTCATTTTGGCAGATTAAGCACTTCTTGGCCCCATAGACTTCAATGGAAATGCTCAAAAAGGCGCGCTTGCCTCCTTTTTTACTCTGGTTTGCCTATTTACATCATTGTGTCACAATCTGATTGCAAAGACGCACAACTGGCTTGAAATATACAGTATTTTAATTATTGTTTTGTGCCTGGAGTTCAGCTTTAAGGCCTTGTTCACACCAAGCGCATTCCAAGAGCAGAGCATTTACAGACCGGAGCAAAACTGCGTCCAATGTATTCCAATGGTATTTTTTAGCTCCAGTTCACATCGCAGCCTTCTGTTCCAGAGCAGGTAAAAAAAACTGCAGCAGGCCCTACAGGTGAAAGTCGAATAATTAGAATATCGTGCAAAAGTAATTGCAGTAAGTGCTGCAAAAGGGGCCCAAACCAAGTACTGAGTACATATGCATGCTTGTACTTTTCAGAGGTCCGATATTGTTCTATGTACAATCCTTGTTTTATTGATTGCATGTAATAATCTACTTTTTTGAGGTTGTGGATTTGGGGTTCTTGGGGTTTTCATGAGCTGTAAGCCATAATCATCACAATTATGACAAATCACGGCTTAAACTATCTTGCTTTGCATGTAATGAGTCTATCTCATATATTAGTTTCACCTTTTTTAAGTTGCATTAGTGAAATAAATGAACTTTGCACGGTATTCTAATCGAGTTTCACCTGCATGTTACCTGCTCTGGAACACACCAAAAATGCATGGAAACGCCCTGGAACGCACTGGAAGCCCATTTTAAACTAAAAAAATATATAATGTATTTTTACCAAAAACGGGCCGGAACGCGCAAAAAACACGGCACGACCCACTGCACTGCGTGTGCAGAAACTCATGCAGATCTGCTCTGCATTTGGTGTGAACAAGGCCTTAAGCTGAGTTTACTTTTTAGACCATGTTTCATATTACATCCAGGTTCAGCTGAAATGATAAGATGAAACATAATCGCATCACCCCACCACCCAGTTACCTGAATCGCGGGGTTCTTTTCCCAACAGGCTACTACACTTTTTTTTCTTAAATGGTGCAGCTGTGCATGTCTCTGCCCACACAGCCATGCCATCTAGACACACATTTTGTTTTTACACGATCTGTGAATGGAGAAATTACACGCATCAGCCAACACAGCTGAGTGACTTGTAGTTCTCAATGGATAACACGTGTGATGACATCACCGCACTTCCATAGTCCATTCATTCTTCCTCCCATACCTTAGTACAAACAGGCCTACATACTTGGACCTACAGGGTTATTCACAATAGGGTGAAGAGTTTGAAGAAGGCAGAAAGAGTGAACAATCTAGAGCAGCGGTGGCAAACCTATGGCACATGGGCATGAGGGGCCCTCTGTGCTGGCACGCAAAACCAGGTCCGGATTCCTGAAAATAGGTCAAGACAGTCCTGGTGTTCTACCTAAACGGCCAACTCGCCGATATCTCCCAACTTATGTCACGTCTGGGGAATTTCCAGTAGGAGATTTAGACGAGATGGCGCTAGTGTGCGTGCGCCAGTCGTGACAGTGTTGAAATCCTTGTCGAGTTCTTCAATTCCTGTCAGTGTGCTTGCGCAGCTTCATAATCCTCGTTGAGTTCAACTCCCTTCAGTGCACTTGCTCGGCCACCCAAGTGCAGTATCAAGTTTTCCAATTGGTGTTACTGCCCGTGCGCCCACCCGATGGCATAATGTGAAATCTGTTTGGCAGAAGATGCTCTCCGATTGGCTGCCTTTGCTTTGCAAGGATGGTGATTGTAAAGCCGCGCAGGTGCATTAACAGGAATTGGAAAACTCGATGAGGATTCTGGAACTGCCATGGCTGGCACACGCACACTAGCACCATCTTGTCCAAATCTCCTACTGGCAAGTCACTGGACATAACGAGTTGAAGATCTCGCCAGTTTGGGCACTCCGGCTCAAAAAGGTTCGCCATCACTGATCTAGGACAACATAGTTGAACTGGAAAGTGAGCTGAATTTTCCAAATCAGATATTATACAGGACTTATATAGCGCCAACAGTTTGCAGAGCTTTATGTCCTAGATCAGGGGTAGCCAACCAGTGGTCCTCCAGCTGTGGTGGAACTCCAAATCCCATGAGGCATTGCAACATTCTCGCAGCCACAGACATGACTCCCGGAGAGAGATGCATCATGGGCTTTGTAGTTTCACCACAGCTGGAGGACCACTGGTTGGCTACCCCTGCTCTAGTCAACGCTGGAGGAACGGAGGGGGAATCCTTGCGGGGAAGGGAGACTGACAGTCACCATTCTCTGCAGGTAGAAGATTGTGAACTGAGCAATTAGCGGTATGTGATCGCTAAATTCTCAATCTATAGAGCCGACGTGTGACAGGTTCAGTGTTACACGTCTCCTCTAACTATTGGGTTGAGTGTAGTTCACTCTTCCAATATTTCACTTTTAATCTCTCTAAACACACTCTGCCTTTCCTATGTTGGTTATGGCACAGTCAATTTACCAAACAATATAACCTTAAAGTGATGTTTAACCTTCATTTTTTGTATTATGAGGGCCAGATTTACTTGAACTGCCTTTACCTTCCCCCAGTACCAGGAAATTCTGGGAACGCTGTATATCTTCCTAGTGAAGGAGATGAGGGACCATAGCTAAATGTATGTCGGGGGTTTCAGAAAGGTACTGGGCGTTTTTTTACCTTAATGCAGAGAATGTATTGCGTTAAAAAAATGCCTAGCCTTTAGTAATACATTAAACATCCTGTCTATCAACCTAGTTCTCAAAATAATTTCTAAAGGATATTCCACATTCCATGTATTTGGTTATTGTTCCCAACATAAACCAAGATAGCTGGGTACATCTGTAGCCCTTCCTAGTTATTTGTGCACCCAAGCTGCCACATTCTGAACCCTGCTACAAGGTAGACTATTTAAAACCATTTAAGTTAGGTGGTCTTGGCAGCTAATTCCTCCTCATAGAATTATTTATCCTGACCTTTCTAGGCCTTCTTGCATAATCCTGCCCACCCCTACTAAATGAGCTGCTCCCCCAGCTTTTAGGCTTGTCACCCTCACATCTTCACTCAACTGGGTAAAACAAGATCTTCAATCTTGCTACTGAATGCTAGTGAATTTGTTTACTTTTTGAGAACAGGGCTGACGGCTGTATCGTAAAAGCAAAATGATGGTTATATAGCCACCTAATTGCTTCTATGGTTCCTTTTCATGTTCAACACCTCAATACCTCCCCAGACCGTAAAGGGGAAAAAAAATAAAAATAATCATTGGGGGGAAAGAAATAAGAACCCAGAAGCGCTCTGCTTTGGGCACTTTTGGGTGCAGAGCCGTCAGTTGCTGCTAAAGTAGAAAAGGAACAAATCGGCAAATGAATGTGCTCAATCGTCTGTGCGACACTTGTCTGGTATTGATGCATGTACTCCTGCGTCAGTAGAGTTAAGGTTAACTCTTAAGTTTTTGACCTGTGAAGGCTTAAGTGCCGCCTATGACCAGTTTTGAATATTGTCGTTTGACATTATATCGTGGATCTACAAAGTTTGGTGTCTATTTGCTCAACTCTGACTACTTTATATTTTTTATTGGATTAGTTTAGATTTTATTGTGTTTGTGTGCACGGAAACCACTTGTATTTTTTTTTTTTTTTACTGAAAATGTCGATTTTTTTTTTTATATACAGTTGCTGTAATAATGTGTGACAAAAAAAATTGCAACAATCATGTTTTTTTTTTCTATAATGATTTTGGGGGTTTTAAGCATGTGCATTTTAGCGTGTCAAAAATGGTTCTGGTTGTGAAAGGGTTAATGATCTTAACATACAGGTATCTACAGGATGCTACACCTTACAACCATTGCACGACCTTCATTGTGCGATGGTTGTAAGGTCATTAAAATTTTGTACGACCGGTCCATCTTGGACAGGCAGATCGTACTTGCGATCATCGCAAGCCCGCCCCGCTGAGGGGAGGGCTTGCCGATGATTGCAATGCTTAGCGGGCAGTGTGCTCTTGCGGCTTTCGTCTTCCGAGCACACTACCAACCTGCTGAAAATCGTATGATTTTCGGCCGGTTTCCCAGTGTGCTAGTAAGACTAAAGTCGTGCGACCGTACAGTAGATGCGATTATCGTACAATCGCGGGAGCACACGCGATTATCGTACGATAATCGCCAGGTGTATGGGCAACTTTTAATGATTTTTTTTTTTTTAATGGATAAAATTGTGATCAATCAAAATTTCCACATTTCCTATTTTGTTTAGTGGTTTAAAAGCATACACATAAAAGATGCATAAACTGTTTGAAAGGCTGGGTGTTTGTTTTGTATGGTAACATTAAAATATATTAGGAGGAATTTATTGATCTGAGAGGTGCTGGTTTTGTTTTAACATACAGTTAAAAACTTTCAGAGTAAATAAAATAATCAAACTGTATTTTATTTTCTAAGTAAAATGTTTCTTTTGTTCTTTTGTAGGCCAGATATAATCTATCGTTGTTTTGATTTCGGGTGAACGCTGTTTACATGCTGAGGATAGCAGGTATGTGTTCTGTGGTCAATCCAGGAAATGGTTAAATGGTCCAGCTGTGTATTTTTTTCAACTGTGTTTTCATGTGTAAATGGTTCCCTTTTTTAATGAAGTTGTACAGGGTTTTGTTTAAAAGATGAATCTTTCACTTTTTTAATTGAAGCCATAGTAGAAAATCTGGTAGCTCCTTTTATGGCCAAACGACATTTTAAAGCCATGACCAAGCTAGGAGCAACTACACAATATCTCACAATCCCCAAAAATGTTAAGCTCTTAATCAGCACATGTATAGTGTATATATTAACCTGTTAATCTTTACCAATATGTAATGTGACTTCTCTTTACCCCTGAACTATCCCTGGAATTCAAAGTGAGTGCCTGAAACTTAATAATTTGGTTGAGCCTGATCAAATCAACTTTCTCTCTGGTCACTGCACCTGCAACACAGGCAAGTGCAGTGGGTGAGGACTTTTGTTTTGGGTGGGAAGAGCCTGATAGGGAACTCCTGAGAGACGAGTTCCCCATCACGTCCACCCACCTCCCTTGTGAATGGCAGGAGGCAATGGGTGGATTCCATAGCCAGAAAACATTTCCTTTTGTCAATCAGTAGCTGAGTGGACCTGGTGGGGAACTAGTCCATCGGCATATCCATCAGGCTCCACATACTGTCAGTATCACTGAAAAAAAGGGATTTCTTAATTGTACATTCCTCTCTGAATTCATGATGACACCATCCTTCCTTCTGGAGGGTGACTACTTTTGTTCCTCATGGTCCCTTTGTGTGTTGTAAAGTAGCCACTGCTCCAAGCTTGCTCCTGTGATGATCTACAATGTCATTTTTAGTGAACTAAAAAGATTGTACTCCATCAAAGGAGTGAGCTTGCAGTGGTGACTACTTTACAACACACACAGGGACCATGGGGAACAAAAGTAGCCACCCTCCAGAAGGAAGCACAGTGTCGGCACCAATTCAGAAATGGTTTGAGGATCTATAGCCGAGTGATACACAAAATACATTTTTGTTAGTAGTTAAGGTACTTGAATGTCTGTCTTTTTTAAGATTTACCTCCTTAGTATTACCTTAAAGATTGAAGAAGCATTAGGGCAGTTATTGACTTGAAGATATTTGTGGACAGCCCTAAGGCCCCGTTCCCACTGCGCGATATGCAAATCGCGTGTTTGTCGCGCGATTTGCATATTGCGCGACATCGCGAGATTTGCCGCGCGATGTCGCGTTCAAGCTTGCATTGAGCAAGCTTGAATCGCGGCTAAATCCGCTCCAAAAAGGGTCCTGCTGTAGCGACACACGACCCGCGACAGCAGGACCCTTTGCCCCATTGGATTGCATTGGAGCGCGATATCGCGCGGTAATTTGCCGCGATATCGCGGGAATTACCGCACGATAAATCGCTCAATGTGAACGGGGTCTAATACTACTTTGTTTTTTTTTTCTCCCTGCAGCAAGCAAATAACCCATGGTAAATTTTTAGCTTTAGATCCATGCACGTATAGTGGCCAGAGACATCTGTCTTTGGCCATATTTATTGAGTAGAAACATTCATGACAGGGCTCGACAAATCCCAGGCGCCAGGTCGCCAATGCGGCTAGCAATTGTGTCCTGTCATCTGGGCATTTGTCAGCCCGTTCACCGCACCACGGTGCTGGAGACAAGCGGAGATGAACAGGAGGTATTGCACATGTCACTTCTAAGTGAGGAGCGCTGGAAAGCCCAATTCCCCCCCCCCCCCTCCCTTCTGCCTCAGCTCTACTGTGCCCGTTCTCCTCCATGCTGTGGTCTGTGTCCCCTCCAACACAGTCCTCTGCAGCCGGTGCCCGGGGAGAGACCGCTGTGGCTCTGCATTCCCCATGCCCTCCTGCCTCATGCCTCTGCTGCTGAAAACGTGTCATCTACAAAAAGTTAAAAAAAATTACGTTGATAAAATAAAAATACCCCAAAAACTTCCCCTGCATACGCGAAATGCCCCAGTGAACAAAAGCCTGGCTCAACTTTTTTTTTTTAGCTGGCTCCTGGATTCAAAGACAAATTGTCAAGCCCTGATTTATGGGGACTGAAAGAGACTGATTATTTCTACACTAGTAAACAAATCTATGCTTTGTCTGAGATTTTAAAAACTTGCTTGAATCAGAAATGGATAGTTTTGCATAGCTCGTTGAGCGGAAAAATCTAATGTAGGAGTACAAAGGCATGAAAAATATGCCTTTCTAACAGTAGCCACTTGTTCTCGTAGATCTATAACTTCTCACCAGACAGTTTATTAAGTGGAGGCTTTGGGTGGTGTTAGAATTTATCGGACTTACTATGAGACACAACGTATACAAATTAAAGTGGAACTTCAGCCAACTAGCTATATGCACAGTTGAAAGATTCCTAAGATTTTTAATCCTCTGCATCCAGTCTGGTGGTTACATTTACATGGACAATTTTGTTGACTTAAGCCTTGGGGTATTTAATCTTCTTCTGGATGTCACATGAAAAGGTTTGATCTGCACAGGAGAATTTTAGCGGCTTATTCCCACTACCAAAATAACTAGCAAATAATTAAGTGTAGCAAATGATTGCTACACAAGGCTCCCTATGGAGTAAGCTACTCAAGTAGCAAATAGCATTTTGTAGCAATTAATAGCACATTAATGATGCATTTTGCATTTATATGAGATTGATTGTGGCTACATGCTGATTTGTGTAGCTTTGTTGGTACATGAGCACAGCCACTGCAAGTTTCCCTGAGCTTTCTACCACTATTTTCTGCATTTAATCAATTACACCATATAAATCCATTGACGATCATGTCCAAGACTAACAACCATGTTCTGTGTCACAGTTTTTTGTTAGTTGCAGAGGATTAAAGCTACATGTGACCCTTATACAGTCTCAATAGAAGCAAGAAACATTGCAGCAGAGAGTTCAGGGTGATTCTCATTTCTGTGACTTACACAGATTCCATGATCTGCTCATAACGGTATAGTTGTCTAGCCAAAACAATAATACTTTGCTGATGTTACATTAGCAATTTTTATCTTTTTTTGGATATTTAGCCTGAAATACTTTTTTTTTTTTTTTTCCTTTTAACCATTTGCTGACCGGGGTGTTAAACCCCCTTCCTGGCCAGGCCATTTTTCAGTATTTAACGCTGTGGTATTTTGACTGACATTTATTCAGTCATGCTACACTGTACTGTAATAAATGTTATACCATTTTTTGGGGGGACAGATAGAGCTTTCTTTTGAATTTTGAAAAAACCCTAAGTTATGTTTATAAAACATTTATTATTATTACCCAATTTTTTTTTAAAATATAAAAAGCGGGGTCATGTCGAGTCAATAGACACCAAACATGTCAAGCTTTACAATTGCGTGTGCCCACAAAATCACAAAAAACTACCATACCTAAAATTGGCCATAGGCGATGCTTTAAAAGCTTTTACGATCATCAGTTTAGTGTTACCAGTGATTGATGGGCCTAGAATTATTGCTCTCAACGCCCAACGCATATTTACGTATATAAGTGGGGGGGATGGGGGCAGGGGACTTAAAACTTGTTGGTGTTTTTTTTTTTTTATATACACTTGATTGCTATCACATTGGGGGCTAAAAAGCCCCCAATGTAATAGCTTAAAAAAATGACAGGTCCTCTTAATGGAGAAATCAGGGGTCCCCAAGGCCACCAATGTCAGCTAGGAACCCCCATCAGCTTCTCTGGCTCCCAGCCAGAGAAATGACAGCTATAGGCGGAAGAGATGTAATAGACATCGCTTCCGACTTTAGAGAGAGAGAGAAGGGGGAGAGATCAGTGGTGAGAAATGCTGATCTCTCCTCCTTCGCTCTTCGAGCAGCCGCTGTGCAGGTCCTGTCAGTCCTGGGCACCGCAGGGGGGACAGCGGTGCCCGGAATAACCGGCTGCGGCTAAACAGGAGAGGGGGGGGGGGGCGCCGCCGCACAATTTAAGGGTTATACAAGCGATTGGCCAGCTATAGAGCCGGCCAAATGCTTGTATGAGACAGCCGGTAAAGGCTGTTATCGTTCCCAGCGGATTTCTGCGCGCGCCCGCTAGCGGTAAAAAAAGAAGACGTGGATTTATGTGACCCCGCTGGGAAGGATCCGCCGTCCGCCCGTAATTTTACGATGGGCAGACGGCAAGGGGTTAAAGGTTACAAAAATTGTTTCCATCATCTGGGTGGCCCTCAAGAAATTCACTGTGAATCACAAAACCCCCCTTCATTTGCTGAGACATTCAGGGATTCTACAGCTAATGACCTGAAATACTTTTTTGTTTTATGCCTCCAGAATTCAGAGCTCATTCGATTAATCGAACTTAATAATCGGCTAACTAATCGATTTTGAAAATAATCGTTAGCTGCAGCACTACACTAGACGTGCACTCCTTATTGCTTGTAGCACTGCTTCTCATCTGTTTTGGTCACACCCTTCATCTGTGCACCAGGTTACAGTAAGCATCTCTTGTATAGGGATGGTTGCTGATGCCTGTACTTTGTATTATTGCAAGCTTCAGCACACACAAGGTAGTTTTAGATAGGGTCCATTTGCAAAATAGAGTAATTTCATGAGAAACATACCAAAACACACTACAGGGCCTGCAAAGCTTATTTTAATGCATAGTAAAGATGCATGCTGCATACATTTAAGCACAAAATTGCATGTATGGGTCCTAGTATCGAGTGGAAACTATATCTCTAGTACTCTTAAAATATGTCCCCCAATACAACAAATCACAGATGAATTTTATTTGTCTGGTAATAGCTTGGGAAAGGCAATGGGCACCGAATTTACATGGCATAGTTACTTAATGAATAAAGAAGACAGAATAAACATAAGAGTGAAGATGTTTATTGCTGGCTGTGTAATTCTCCTTATTTGTCAGGGAGAAATGGCAGAGGGAAGAAGTATCTGAAGTTACAGGAGGAGTTCAGACAGATTGCCATAAAAAGGCAGAATTCTGCACAACGGGGACATAGATTAATTACTTGGAACAGCATTGCAACTTGGCACAGAAACCCATGGGTCCTCCGAGATATCCTGGAAAGATATATATATATATATATTTCGACATCTAAATAAAACACACTTTGCTGGTTTGGTTTATTTTAGAATGCACCGCGCAACATTTACTATGTGTATTTTATTTTCACATTTTGAAAAGTTGAACTGTAAATGTAATGTCTGATAAGCTCGCATTACTCCTTAATTTTCTCTATTGCATGTAGCAAGATATACATGTAGTGATCTCTGATGCTATTACCATATCTGAATGCACTCTTCTCTTCTGGGAGTTTTGCTCACTTATTGGCATAAATTAATTCCTGTGCACACTTATGGAAGTGGTGTGTGTGGATTTTAGCGGGTGACGCATGGCTGGGTCCCAGAAATAATGCCGAATTTGTCCTGTCAGCCTAAGGATTTCATATTTTGCCATAAAAAAGGTGCTCAGAAGAAAACATTCTGCTCACTCCACTCCAGTAGAAGAAACCTGATTTACTTCACTAGAGAAACTGTCTCTTCCATCTTACATTATCTGGTTGCTTAACCAAATACTTGGGCTGATTTATAAATCTTCCACCCAGTATATCGCTGGGCAAATGCCGCTCACACAAGTGCCACTAGATGGCTCTGAGGAGCATTGGATTTTTCTCTGCTCCTCGGCACCATCTAGTGGCACCAGTGCCATGTGAAGGACTCGGGCTCTGCTATACATTGGGCAGAGGATTTATAAGTCGGACTCTAGTTGTTTTATACCGTGATCCTTACTGAAAGTTTAGAGAAGTGTATCTAAAGCCAAACTTTTTTTTTTGTACGAAAACGCCACTAATCCATCATGGGGTGTTTTTTTTTTTTTTTCATACGATTCAAAAAAGTTTTCCAGCCTGATCTCTTCAAGAAATCTCAAGCGGGACTACAGTAAAAAAAAAAAAATTAAAATAGTTGGTGTCCCATCAACTGATTATTGTTCAAAAGACCATTTGTTGACTATTTCTGAATGATCGATACACTGAAGAAAATAATTTACTTGATCCCCTTGTGCAAGTATACAATCTTGTCCCTAACGTCCTTTGACAGCTCTTTGGTCTTGCCCATGGTGGTTAGGTTGGAATGGAAGAAAGAGATTTGGTGTACAGGTGTGTTTTATATACATAATGAGTTGTTAAGAGCACCTTCTTAAACTGACAGGACTAATCTGTGTACCACACAGCCAGTCTGTGGGAGCCAGAATTCTTGTAAAGGTGCCCATACAGCATTGCGGTCATCGGAACCCCGACCCTCAGCGGGGCAGACTTTCGATGATCGCAAGTACGATCTGCCTGTCCAAGATAGGCAGATTGTACGAGCTTTTAATAAGCTTACGACCATCGCAAGACAAAGTCTTGCGATGGTCGTAAGGTGTATGGGCACCTTTAGTTGGTAGAGGATCAAAAACTTTTTTTACTCACTGAACTGCAACTCAATTTATAACATTTGTATCGCATATTGTTTCTGGATTTTTGGTTGATATTCTGTCTCTATCATTTAAACCATTATAGACCTTTCATTTCTTTGTAAGTTGGCAACCTTACAAAATCTGCAGGGGATCAAATAATTATTTGCCACACTGTAGGTGTATGGGCACCTTAAGTGAGGCCTGAGAGTGCAAAAGGAAATAATCAAGAAAGATATATGAATGGTGTGATTTCTGAGTTTTTAAAAATGAAGGCTGTCATCTTGAGTCAGTGTCTAAAACAGGCATGTGCGTATTAGTTAACCATTCAATTCAACAAAAATACTCCCATAAGATTACATGTGTGCGCCCGCGATTTTGCAGAAAACGACCACACCCAACATTGGCCATAGGCGACGCTTTAAACGCTTTTACTGCTCATCAGTTTAGTGTTCTCAGTAATTAAAGGCCCTAAAATGATTGCTCTCATTCCAACGTTCACGGCGATATGTAAAATGTGCGGCGCAATCATCGCTTTCACACATAGGCACACCCGACTATGTGGGAGAGTGGGGGACTTTAAAAATGTTTTTGTGTTTTTTTTACTTTTTTTTTTATTTATTTGTGACGCACACCTGCAACTACTACAAGCGATCGGGAGTCTCTAGAGACGCCTGATCGATTGAATGTAAACATCCATCGCTAGCTGTTTACATTCCTAACAGTTTCCCCACGTGCTTGCTGAGCGCCGCACACAAGCTGGGGAGGGGCATGATGTCTGGGGGAGGGGCAGGGCGTCTTAAGGTGCCCTCCCGCTCCTATAAGGGCCCCATCCGGCTGTTCAGGAACGGCCATGGATGGCAAGTGATCAAATACTTGATTTTTCTGTGTTTTTATCTTGCTGAAAGCCGAGTGTTTGCAAATTGAATGTTTGCTTCCTCCAGTGGCTAATTTAGAAATAGCTATCTAAGTCGGGATCCGCTCCAGCTGCGGCGTCTCAGTATACCGTGAGCTGTAGCTCTGGGTATACTGAGCTTAGGGTAACGGGAGGACGCTAGTTTGTGTCCTCCCGTTACCCTAAGGAGAACTATGGGGAAAAACACTGACCCCATAGTTCTCCTCTAATACAATATGAAAATATGGAGGAGCCAGCATTTGAAAAAAGGGAAATCGCATCAAATATTACTTCAAGGTGCCTTATTGCAGTGTTGAAACAAAATATGTGCTCAGTGATAATTATTGGTTGGCTACCAACACTTGCCTCCTCAGCCTTTTTTATTTTTTTGTTTTTATATCCCACTCCCATCTCTTTTTTTTTTTTTATTTGTAAAACCCTTAAAATACATTTTAGTCTTGGTATACAGTCATACCCTGCTACAAAAAAAACCCTATGATTTACTATGAGGCCCATGTTCTTATATAATGGTCCAGTATTTCGAAAGGAATCTATGTCCGGTGGATTAGTCAACTGTGGGTATATTTGTTGGTCCTAAAGGTTGTTTGTTGTTGTGTTTTTTTTTTTTTTTTTTCCTTTTCCAGTAGTGACTTAAAATTAGAGAAGGTCAGAGGGCTCTATCAAGCTTTTCTTATTTGCTTCCTATGTTCTTTTCAGGGAACTTTCCCTGGGCGGAGACAGCCAGCGCTGTCACAGGAGGCCGGCGGTGCAGGGGAGGTGTCGGCTGTCAGAGCTCTCCTCCCCGCACTGCTCGCTCAGCCTCCTGTTACAGCGTGTCAGGAAGGAGAGCGGTACAAACAGTGATCGCTGAGTGTTTGTAAATAATTTAGGACATAGTATGGTTACTATATCCTCAAATATGAGTCAATGGGAAGTGTTCTACATCACTTCCTGTTCATTTATAATTGTGGATATAGTAAACACACTATGTTCTCATGTTATGAATGAACAGGAACACTCAGTATAGAGGCTTCCTGTTCATATATAACAAGGGCTGCAGAAAGATTGAGGACTTTGTGTTCGCAATCTCTCTTTCCATTTTAAAAGGGAAATATCAGGGGGTCTGTTTAGACAGCTGATATTTCCCAAAGCCCCTAAAAGTAAAGTAAAAAATACAAATATTTAATAAAAATATTTTTTTTTGTAACAACAGTCAGGCAAAAACCGAAAATTGTATTTTTTCTGACATTTTTTTTCATTCGTGTTTCGTTTTTAAAAATGTTTCATTTCGCTGCAACACTAGTAGGAAGTTTGCAGAATCTCTCCAACAGGGACACAATACAAACCTGAAATGTGATATCCCTTTACTGCATTATCCAAACATTTAAAACATTGTTTGGTGTTCCACTCTAAATGTAACTAATGAACCTTTTTTCTCTTACAGTTTCCTTTTAGAATTTGACAAACAGATTACCATCATGCGCGAGTACAAACTCGTGGTTCTCGGTTCTGGAGGTGTTGGAAAGTCTGCACTGGTAAGCTGTTGTGAGATATATTTATTTAATAAATGCAAAAACAATTTTGGGTTATCTTTTACAACAGTTTGTAGTCCTCAAAGCATAAGACCACTTAGCTACATTTGGTGCTTTGGGTTGAGGCATCAGCCTAAGCACATTCTGAACCTGTGCTTCCCCTTTGTCTGCTAGTTATTTTCTTTTTAGATGTATGTGGGTCCAGTCAACACTAATTCTAGGTGGAATAAGACCATGTTTACACGTTTCATCATTCCACTTTACCAACCGGTGCATAGTTCAGTGCCCTTGTAATATATTACCTATTGCTGTCATAAGATTAAAGAAAAGGTTTTTTTTTTTTTTTGTTAGTATTTTCTTTCAGCTTTGGATAGATTGTGGAAGGGTTAGAACCCCTGTCAGGTTTTTTTTTTTTTTGCTCTGTGTCCCTACTGGGGAGATTCACCCTCACTTTAAATGCCCATTGTCTCCAGAAATGAAAGTGATGTGAAATCTAAAATATTTAAGCTGCCATAAGACCAGGAGATGAGAAAAAGTCTTCCAGTAGGGAAACCTGTTCTGATGCCAACTAGGCTAACCCCCTCACTTTGGAGAGCTCTTTACTTCCTGCTTTTTGGTTACAGGAAGTGAAGACGAATCTTCCTGATGCGACATATCACAAATGTGTTGTGTGTTATTTAATTTTGAAGGGCCAGTCAAAGCATCACACTACAGTAGACCATAACATGGACATGCAGCATTTTTTCCAATGCAATACACCACAATGTATGATGCATGATGAGTGCGTTCTCAAGACATGTGAATTAGAGCTGAGTTTTGTGCGTGATTCAAAAAAAATTGTTGTAATATGCGATATTCATATCACAGCACACCCTTAAGGAATGCTTGTCATGTTATGTGGGTGTTATTTGTGCAGTGAGTACGCTCCTTGCTTGCTTTCCAGGAGAGAGCGGTCATAGTATGCAGCGTAGTTCAGCTGAGGAGGGTCTGGGATATGACAAGTGAAATCTGACTTGCTTAGTATTGATTTAAGGTGCTGCTATTAGTGTGCGAGACTTCATATTGTTCCAGCTATGTTTGACACCCTGTAACCAGACTATTTCATCAAAAATATTCCCATACAGCAGGGGTGGCCAAACTCCGGCACTCCAGCTGTGATGAAACTACAAATCTCATGAAGCATCTCTCTCAGGGAGTCGTGGCTGTGAGAATCTTGCAAGGCCTCATGGGATTCGTAGTTCGACCACAGCTGGAGGGCCGCAGTTTGGCCATCCCTGCCATACAGGCTGCTGATGGACGCCACCATCTTGGATGTGATGTCAGCAGCCCCAGCAGATTCAGACCTATTACTCAAGTGACCATTTATAAATCTTACATGACTGCTGTAAAATGTCCCTAAATATTTTTAAGATTAGTAATGTTCATTGCCACCAATAAACATCTTTTTTTTTTTTTTTTTTTACCTTTTTATAGCCTAACCTATGACAAAAAAGTTTTGAATCTGAATTTTTTTTTAATCAGTTGCACCGGTTTTTACTTTTGTTTTGTTTGGTTACCTGGCCATGTTGGTTGCCCCTTGTTTCAATAGTTTGTCACTAACCCAGAACAAGTACACAGTTAAGAACTTCTCATTTTTATGTGTCCCTTGTTCTAGCTTGTGATTTTGAAAGTACTAAAGCCAGTGGGTCAGAAAGAGATCAGCAGTGGCAGCCCGCTATATTTTTCTCTAGAAAAGTTTACTTTAAATATTTGGTATTTTAATTTCATGGACTATTGCTTGGATTTGCTAATATTTGCTGTTTGTCTTCCAGACAGTGCAGTTTGTTCAGGGAATTTTTGTGGAAAAATATGATCCCACTATAGAGGATTCCTACAGAAAGGTATGTTGATGAGACTGTATGTCCTTTATGTTTAGTACTTAAAATAATATTAAACTTTCAAGCTTTTTTTCAGGAATGAATCCAGATCAAACAAATATATATTGCCCAGGAAAGCATTGCTTTACATTTTTGGCCAAACGCTTACGTCGGGTTCACACCTGCGTGTAGCGGGAACGCGCACCTCGTTGGCGCGCTTTCATGCTACTTTCACACATTTGTGTGCCACGTTTGCCGCACTTCCTCATTGATTTCACGGGGTTCATTTACGCGCAGTGAATGCGTCAAAAAAGCTCCTATAGTATTTTCCGCCACACACGTTCCATGTTTTTTGCTTCAGCCTTTGTCACCGTAAAGAGTCGGCACCAGTGCTCAGTGGACCGGCTGATTCTGCAGGAAACAAACTTTTAAACATCAAGAAACAGCATCCATTGTAAGTGATTTCATCAGCATTTGAAAGAACTCAATCCTTTTGACTTTATCACTTCAAAGTTCTCATACCCAATACTGTGTTCCATTTCAATATTTTTCCACATATACATTTTACTAGTCTCATTAAATATACTTTCTTGTGTATTAAAGGAGCACTATGGGGTTAAGGCTTTTCCACATAGTTCTCCTTAGTGTAACGGGAGGACACAAGCTAGTGTCCTCCCGTCACCCTAGGCTCAGTATACCGCGAGCTGTAGCTCACAGTAGACTGAGACGCCGCAGTATACCGAGAGCTGCTGCTTGCGGTTTACTGAGACCCCTCAGCTGAATCGGATCCCGACAAGTGTGACGGGATCCGCCCAGCTGCGAGACTGACAGCTGGCTCTGCCTATCTAGAGGCTGAGCCAGCTGTACCCGCTCCCTCCCCCGTCCGTTACGCCAGCCAGCGCTGGCAGAGCGGGGAGAGGGGAATCCAGCCCCTCCCCCTGTCACGGCAGAGAGCCGTCACAGGATCGAGAGGTGAGCGAACCCGGTATGTGTTCGCTCACCTCCCGATCTACTGAGCCGACCTGTGACAGTCTCATTGTCACAGGTCGGCTAGAACCATGAGGTGAGTGAAAAGCACTCACCTCATAGTTCTTATTCATAACGTGTTATGAATTTCAGTATCTGTGCATACCATGAGTATGAGCATGTTAGACTGCCTACAAAGCAACCAATTTTTGTGGCTCAAGAGGTGGTTAGGGATATCATCTGTGTCCCTTCTACCTGCACTGGTAATGCTACACTTCAGGAACTTGGCTTGATTCAGTAAGGCATCATGGTTAGGATGTGTTGAGGATCTCAGTATGGGAGACATCTGAGTTCTTTCGTATATCTAAACCAACCGTCTACACGGTAACTGATGACAGTCTCAATAAGGCGTTCTTGGTCGCTGTGTAGGTCTGAGGTTCAGTATTATCATCTTTGTATAGTTATGTAACTATGCTTTCTACAGGATAACGGTGTTCTGCTTTGGTGAAGGCTTTACCAGTTATGATGGGGTTACGAAGCTCAGCCTTGGTATGTTCATCCAAGTTATACTCTGTGCATGGTTATAGCCACATGTTAGTCACTGCTGTGTGGATATAATTACGGAGTCCTACGGGCTTTCCTAGAAACTCCGTTGAACTAATTGAAGCATGTTCTTTAAAATTATTGCATTCAGAACGGCTTTGCTAGTAGCCGTGGTTTAGCGAAATGTACACTTTGCCGATTTGGGTCCCTATATGTACAGGGAAAACTTGTATTAAAACCAGTCCCGGTTTTTCCTAGGGCAATAGTGAAATTTGTCTTGGAACGCATGGTATGGCAGTTCCTTCCTTTTTTGTACCAGTACATCAGTTATGGTAGAAGCAGCCTTACTAGGCGCGGACGTTCGCTTGGCCTCTTTATGGGCTAAGTGTGCAGTGGCTACACCAGAGCAGGGCTAACTGGTCCAGGCTTGACGTTGTCAAATACTGTAGAGTTGACTTAACGGTCAACCAAGATCAGGCTTTCACTGCGCAGAACGAGCTGAGGGCCCCGTCAGCGCGCCTCTGCGTTCCTATGCCGCTCAGCCACGTCACTGAGGTGGGTGGGCCAGTAAATGTAATTGACAGCCGGCTCGAGGGAGCTGTCAACTACAAGCAAACAGGTCGACTCGCGTGCCAGCTGTCAAGGTCTCACGTGCCAGGCTGGGCACGCGTGCCGGGGGTTGCCGACCCCTGTACTAAGGAGAGTGGACGCATTTTCTTCAGCTCTGCTGTTCTCTCTTTGTTTAGTATATGTATAGAATACTGAAATCCTGGAAGTCTCTCCAGTTAGCCAACGGATTCAGGTTTTCCCAGTTTTTGGTGGTGTTCTCACTGACTGCCCTTGGGTCTTGTGTGAAGCATTCTTTTCATAAAGCACAGAGCTGACTGAAAACCGTAATTGGATACTAAAGGAACAGTGGCTTACAGTACCATTCGTACTAGTGTTCATACGAATAATCTCATCAGAACATCCGATTTATGCCATAGGGACTTGATGCATGTTTGCAATTCCCTTTTAATTTTAATTTGATTTTTGAATGATAAGAGTTTTCAAAAGGAAAACCACATTCACTGTCTGCAGTTAGCCAAACGAGCGAGGGGTCTGCAACATACAAAACTTGGTCTACATTATTCTTATTCTCCAGGTCCTCTACTTTCAAAAAAAAGCGTGCAATTTGTGCGTTTTTTCTTTTTTCACACATGGTAAAATTACATGCTTGAAAATGTGCATAAAGGCTTATAACACATGGCTTTTTAAAAACTGTATTTACAGAAAACATCTATACCTCTGGTAACGAATATGGGAATGCAATATATACTCGCCTCCAGGACTCCTCTAGAGTCTCTCCCATCCTCTGGAACTCTTTACCCCAACCTGTCCATCTATCTCCCACCCTGACTGTCTTTAGGCGTTCCCTGAAGACTCTTCTCTTCAGGGAAGCCTATCCCACCTCAACCTAACCACTGAACCATCACATTCTCAAACAATTCATCCCCACACAGCTACCTCCTCATGTATCATTTCCCCCTCCTCTTTCAGATTGTAAGCCCTCAGGGGCAGGGCCCTCCTTACCATCCTGTCTTGAATTGTATTGTAATTGTAATGTCTTCCTTACATTGTAAACGCTGCGCAAACTGTTGGCGCTATATAAATACTATGTAATAATACATAAAGTATAGTAAATGATATATTCTATAATGTAATGTTTATTTAAGACCACTGCCTTGAAGCTATGTGTGGGATTTTTTTTGTTTCAATCAGGGATCTCTTAGAGCAGTTGGGCTTTGTATAATGTTGATTGTCGCCTCTCCAAATATACGTGTGTGTGTGTTTGTGTCTCTGAACATGTTTTAGAGTGTAAATGAAAACCATAGCACTCAGATTAAACCGATTCAAACACAGGGACAACATACAAATTCCAGAGCTCGGAGGAAAGTGTGCCAATTCAGGTGCTTTATTTAAATATGTTTTAAAAGAAAAAATACATGGAGAAATGAGCAAGAAAACTTTATTCTATCCAAACATGCTTTATTATGTTTTTGTTTTTTTGCCTTTTAAAACGTTTCACCTTTTATTTTACAGCAAGTAGAAGTAGAAGGACAGCAATGCATGCTTGAAATTCTTGATACTGCTGGAACCGTGAGTAACCTCCACCTTTTACTTATGTTTTAATACTTGCCTTATTAACATACCGTGTTTTGCACTCCATAAGGCGCAACGGACCATAGAAACCGTTACAGAAGCTGCAGTTAGTGACAGGTGGCACTGTGACTATCACCGCCGCCGCTCGGTTTTAATACAAGTGATCTATTCAGATCACAAGCACCGTCTCCCACTGTACATTTAGCTCGGCTTTAGGGGAGAACAAAATAATACCATTAGTTTAGTTAGTGCACTTTTTACTTCTTCCTCGCAAAATGGTTCCTTCCTGTCACCATACTGCCAGTCCCATGCTGTGCTCCTTTTCCATGTGGGGGTCTTTCACAGCACCATCAAGGGCGCCCTCCTCACAGAAAATGTCTGACTTATTGGAGTCCTCAGATAGCAAGGTAAGCAAGCGATAAGCCTCTTCCCATTCAGTGCTGTCCTCTCTCTGCTTTCAGTTTGGTGGCCTTAGGAAGTGGACCTGTCTCATGACCTTTTTCCAAAGCCATTTCGGTCACAGTGCATACTTGGTTATAGTTAGCCACCTGTGCTGGCATTGCCCAAGATCACCGGTCAGGGTTCTTTTAAAAAAAAAATACCTAAACCAGCTTAAACCTTTCCTGTACACTTTCTTCAACAGCCACTCTTGTATGATGGCTTGGATCACCTTAAAAAATTGTTTACTCCAAACAGTTAACACCTCAGTATGAAGAGAGGGCTTATGAAATGGGCTCCTCCTGTTGAAGACCCAGCTATCTTTTGCCTGAAAAAGACTTTGGCAGTCCCTGCAGAACATGTCCCTGTTTTCAAGGACCACATGGACGAGAGGTTAAAAGCCTTATTTGCCCTTGCGGGCCCAGCTGTGCAACAAGCTGTTGCCACCATGGCCATGTGTCAAGCTTTATCTGTATGTGTATGGTCTGAATCTATGGCTAGGGACCCTGTATTGATGATCTGAAGCTTCTCAATCAGTTTCTGCGGGTCCAGACGTTCCATGTGGAGTCTACCCAATCAGTCATCACTAGTCTTGGGCTCAACGGACATCTTGGATGCATATTTGCACATCCCACATTTTCCAGCTCGCCAACAACCTACATTTTGCAGAAGGCACACAACACTTGCAGTTTGCTGCTCTTCCACTTGGCCTGTCTACATCAACTCCAGTTCTTACCAAGGTGCTGGTCCCTGTCCGTGCTCTGCACCACTACCAAGGAATCCCAAAAGATCTCCTTTCAAAAACAGTTGGCACAGACCCTGTCAGCCAATATCTATCAGGTCAGTACAATCTCAGTAGAGCTTTAGATGCTTTGGATTTTAAATCTCCAGAAATCAGCTCTGGTGCTGGAACCCTCTCACCACTTGGAGTACCTGGGCCTAATCTTGGACATGGCCCTGTCCAGAGTATTACTCTCTCAGGGAAATCTCTGTTATGTCTGCTCCCGTGTATGGTAGAAAGCATGAATCGCCAGCACTAAGTAGATAGCGTTCAGATAATAAACGTCCATTTAATCGGACCAGTCGTCGCATATAACGAAATACCAACGTTTTCAGGGCGACACAGGGTCCCTTCATCAGGTCATATCATTGCCCTAATGAAGGGACCCTGTGCGGCCCCGAAACGTTGGCATTTCGTTGTGTGACGTCTTGTCCGATTAAATGGACGTTTATTATCTGAACGCTATCTACTGAGTGCTGGTGATTCCTGCTTTCTACCGTTTATGTGCACCATCCGTGATTATCATTGCGAGCACCACCATTGTGATTTGGGCCAGGAACGCTGTATGGAGTGCAGGGGCACCTAGCGTTTTCTACGTTGCTCCAATGTTTGGACATTGCTGTTCAGGAGTCACCCATCCATCCGCTTTTACATGAAGGTTTTGTGGCCCCTTTGAAGTCTCATGAGCTCAGTTTCACTCCAGAACATTGCAGCTCAACTTTCTGGCTGCATTGGACAACCTTACTTAGTCTCTGGATCACTGCGAGAAAAAGTGTGTACCACAGCGCTCCGCATGAAGGTATTCGTCCACCTCAACATAAAGGTGAGGGGGCTGCCGCCCTCAAGGCCACCAGGAAGTATCCTCACATAACATGTAAAACAAAAGAACAGACGGCGCCCTCCTAGTGTAAAAACGTTTATTAAATATAATTCTCAGAAAAAGCCACTCACATGAAAAGGCAATTTAATGACAAGCAGGTTCGAAAAGAAGACTGACCATCTGACACGTTTCAGGGGAGCAGCCCCCCTTCCTCCAGAGCTAGACCATCACTAGCTATGAGGAAGTGGGGCTGCTTCCCCGAAACGTGTCAGCTGGTCGGTCTTCTTTGGGACCTGCTTGTCATTACATTGCCTCTTCTATGCATCTCCTTGTGAGTAGCTTTCTATGAGAATAGTCTCTGGATCACCCCATTTGCCTGAAGAACAAGACCATGCTTGCCCTGGTGTGGTAGATTTCCAAGCCGGCACTCAAATTGGCAAAATCCTTTTCTCCTGGTCTGGGAGATGCTCACGACAAATGATAGGCTGTTGAACTGGGGAGAAGTCCTGGATAACCTCTCAGTTCAGTAAGGAAAAATCTGTTAGAGCAACACAAACAGAAAAAAAAATCATGTTTCCTTCCTGTCTGGTCAAACTGTTGTCAGCAGGGTAGAAAGTGAGGGGCAAGTTCTCTAAAGCTGCTGAATTGGTCGAAATTTGGGCTGGAGCTAGCCCGGTCTGCACCACCTGTCTCAATAACAGCCAATTTTTCCAATAGACGTTTATCGAAGGAGCCGGGTGGAAAATTATCGGCCTGACAGTGACTGCATCCAATCACGGGCAGTCACTGTTTGGGTATTAAGCAGCTGCAGGTCCCCCTAGCTGTCGAATACAATAGGCGGCAGTGAAGATTACTTGATCCACACTGTTTAGTGTGGATAGACAATCGATTAATTTCTCTAGTTTAGTCACCTGGGCTGAATAAGAAAAGTCTAAAGGCGTATGGATAGCCCAACAGAACCCCAGATAGCTATTTTAAAAACCAAAATAGTGGTTGTAATCCTTCCCCACTCTATTCAAAACTAGAGTAAAATATTTTGGCTTGACATACAATTTAAAGAGAACAAGTCACTTGAGGGAGCTAAAGAACAGGTTTTGTTAAGTGCTGAAGTTTTGGTTATTTTAATTCCGTGTGAAGCTAATAAAAAGCCTGCTGTTTGTAATTGTTACTTATGGTGTACAGATATTTTCATTACAAATGTTTCTTTTTAAATATTTGGTATTATTGAATTAATATTTTTCTTTGTGATCCCCTAGGAGCAATTCACTGCAATGAGAGACTTGTATATGAAGAACGGTCAGGGATTTGCACTAGTATACTCTATAACTGCACAGTCCACATTTAATGACTTGCAAGACTTGAGGGAACAGATTTTACGAGTTAAAGACACAGAAGATGTAAGGAATTTTTTTTTTTCATTTAGTGTGGTTTCAAAATGTTTTTAAAGCCTTTTTCATATATAATTAAGTCTGATTTAACCTGTGTAAGTTTGTTTTTTATTTGTTTTTTGGCTTTTTTTCTTCCTGCCTGTGTTTTAAGATGGCTGCACAGCCACATCTTGATATCCCACTGCCCCGATGTCACACACTGACAACAGCTAGACTATTGTTTAATAAGTGTTCCATTTTTATTAGATTTGTGACTATTCTCACACTCAAAACAGTAGGCCATCATACACTTGGCCAGATGCACATAAAAAAAAAGGAGCTTTTCAGGATGAAATTTGGTCTGCTTTATAAGGAGTAACCACGTGGGCCACTAGAGCATGGTGCCATGTCATCATGTACTGCAACACATTCATGTATAACTATTCAGTAGTCAGAAGATGTAAAACAAAGTGTTAAAATGTCTGATCTTATGGAAGCTGCAACAGTGTGACTATTGTAAACTCTACACATCCAACCTCTTATCAGATCCTGTCCTCAATAGAGTTGTGTCAGAAATAAAGTGAATGTATAAATAAATAACTTTTACAGGATAGGGCAAAAGGTAACTTTTTATCTGTTTTAACTTGAAGTATGTCTAAGCCCTAGAACAAAAAAAATAAATAAGTACCGTTTTTTGCAACGCACGAAGGTCAGCCTTTTTTAATGCATGATTGTGTTAAATTGCATGGGCAGTAACGCGGTGGGAAACCTGGCCCAACTGGGGGGTGCCATTAGAAAATAATGGCACCACCAGGGCGATCAGCAGTGGTGGGTGATTGCGTGACCGCACGGCCATCTGCACAGTTTTGTATTTGATTGCTGCGTGGTCACGGATCGCCCAGGTGTGAGCATAGCCCAGCAGTTCTCAACCGGTGGGTCGTGACCCAAAAGTGGGTCACAACCCACAGTTGAGGTGGTCCCCACGTGCCTTGTGCTGTGCTAGGTAAGAGGCTCCTTAGCCTCCTCCTAGCGCAACAGTTTCCGTTCTCCTAGATGGTGCAGCGGCGGCTGGAGAGGATCAGAGAGAGGGGAGCGGGCAGAGGTGAGGAGAGGTGAATGCTTGATCACCAAAGAGCCGCACTGGGGGCCACCAGAGAGTCCCACTACCATCTGCAAGCCCACACAGATACTAGTTTTGGTTCATCCCTAAAAATGTTAGCGTTTGGCGGTCACCACAACTTGGCAAAAGTTACCAAGTGTCCTGGCCCTAGAAAGGTTGAGAAACACTGGCTTAGCCTGAATTAGATTTTTGTGTAGCAATGTCAAAATGTCGTGAACAATCAACAGCTACACTAATTTGTTTGCAGCAGGCCCACAAACTGTTTTCAGCCTAATATGATGTAGACATCTGAACTGAAAAAGAGGAGCAGTAGTACTTCATTACTGTGCAGCAGTACAAAGCAGGGTGCAGTTTGTGTATGTAATAATTTACCACTTATGTAATTACAAAGTAACAATTTATTTTATTTTTTTCCTCTACATTAGCGCAGTGTCTTGAACCTTGATCTTGACATTTACTGGTGCATCCAGCACTGATCTATAGATCGGTGAATGCCAAGATTACCGTATTTTTCGCTCCATAGGACGCACTTTTTTCCCCCCAAAAGGAGGGGGGAAAAGTGCCTGCGTCTTATGGAGCGAATCCCGACGCCCGAGACATGCAGTTTCGGGCGCTGGGCGAGTAGTAGGAGCCACTGCTCGTTTAATACGAGTGATCTAACGAGATCACTCGTGTTAAAGCTGAGCAGCGGCGATCGAGTTCAGCAGCAGGAGCCACTGCTCGTTTAATACGAGTGATCTAATGAGATCACTCGTATTGAAACCGAGCAGCGGCGACGATCGAGATAACCATAGAGCAGACGAAGAATAGACGTTCTTCGCCTGCTCTGTGTCATCACTGAGACCGTGGCGCTGTAATCACAGCGCCACCTGTTTCAGCGGTCACTAACTGCAGCTTCTGTCACAGCTTCTGTCATAGAAGCTGTGACAGAAGCTACAGTCTCGAGTGCTCCATAAGGCGCGCCGGACCTCCCTGCGTCCTATGGCCCGGTGCGTCTTATGGACCGCAAAATACGGTAATTTTTTTACCTCAATATTTAATATCTCAGTCTTACGAGACAACTCCTAAACAAGTTTGTGAGGGGTCACGGCAAAGGCACCAGTGCTGTAGAGGAACTGAATAACCACTCTGAAGCTTTGTAACATTAGAAAGGTTCTGTTTGTATCCCTGGCAAAGCACCAGTGCCAACTCAGAACAGAGCGGGGGAATCCCTGCAGGTAGCAGTGACTGACAGTCACTGCTTTCTGCAGGGAGGTGATTGGAAATTGAGCGAGCGTCGGTATGTGTTCGATCACTTCCCGATCAAAAGAGCTGACCTGTGACAGCTTCTTTTGTCAGGATTGAAGAAAATAGGTCACCAGCACTCCATAAGTTAAAATGAATGAGTCCTTTTAATGGACAATGATGTCACAGAAATCTCACCTGGATTGGATTGATCCTTTGCCTAAATACTCACAACAATTCTGCCGCCTGAACTGACCTCAGCCTGCTTACTGACTACGTCTCTCCATGAACTGACTTTGGCCTGCATAGTGACCACATGTTTGCCTTCCACCTGAACTGACCTTGGCCTGCAAACTGACCACTTCTCTGCCTGCCACCTGAACTGACCTAGTTGACCACATTTCTTCCTGCTGCCTGTAGTGACCCATCTGCATGTCCAACTGACAATGGTCCATCCAAAACACCAGTCCCAGTCATCCTCTGAAAACAGCTGCACTCCTGGAACCACAGGTACTGTTTTGTTTACCTTTTGTCAAGCTTACTGTGCTTCCTGGTCACTGAACATAGCATTTTGTTTACACATTTTGGCCTAAATGTATGAAGAAAGATTATTTATTTGCAATGTTTCATTAACATAATATAAGGAAAACAGTTTTTTTGTAAAAAAAAATAGGTATTTTTTTCTTTATATAGTAAAAAATAAAAACCCCAGTGGTGATTAAATACCACCAAAAGAAAGCTCTATGTGTCCCCAGAAAATGGTAAGAAATTCATTTCAGTACAGCGTTGCATGACAGAATAAATGTCAGTCAAAGTACCGCAGCGCTGAATACTGAAAAATGGCCTGGCCAGGAAGGGGGTGTAAACACCTGGTCTTGAAGTGGTTAAGTAATGACCCGACCCATCAGCAGTAACTTCCTCACGCAGACTTTATTGCTGCTGAGTTGAGCGAGTATGCCAGACTATTGTCAGGTGTGTTAATAAGATCTGATTGCTTGTGAGTACTGGTTCTAAAGCTGGCCATACCCTATTAGATTTCAGAACGAACGTTCATATGAAAAAGCTTTCTTTATCGCCCAATAATGCCATCAGACACTTAACAAATGTCGATAGAAATTTAGTTTGGTTTTAACGTTCAATTTTGGTATCAATGAAGTTTCCAGAATGAAAACTACGTTCACTGTTAGAATTTGTTCATTCGAGAAAGTTTCCATCCTGCTCCTTCAAGTTTTAAAGTCTAATCAGTGTATGGCCAGCTTGACTCTGTTGCCTATTGGACTACACAGTCAAATTTGGACACCCTGCACAACTACAATAAGGGTAAAGTGGACTATAAAATGGCTGACTGCATATTTATTTCTCTAATTTCAGCAGGACTTAGTGGCACAATAGTTTTCCTCACTTGAAAAACTATGGATTTATTGCAATATGAAACTAATCTTCTTTTTTTTCTTCTCCCTGTTAAAGGTTCCCATGATTTTAGTGGGCAACAAGTGTGATTTGGAAGATGAGCGGGTAGTTGGCAAAGAACAGGGACAAAACCTAGCCAGACAGTGGAATAATTGTGCCTTTTTAGAATCTTCGGCAAAGTCTAAGATCAATGTAAATGAGGTTAGTAGGACTTTGATCTGATATTTGTATTTCTTTATTTGTGTGTATCTAACACTACACTACACCGCCTACAGGCAGATTGGACACTGGCAAACAGACAAATAGTAGTCTAGCCCAGGATAAGCTCTCCTGTGCTCAACATGTTAGTTTGTTTTTTTTACTAGTGTCCTAGTAGAATAAAGGTCTGTTCTTCAACTCTGCTGAGAAGAGTTTCACCAATTTTTGCTAGCCTCCCTTGCTATATTTTGTTTGTGAATTTGTTCTTGCATTGACTTCAATCAAGCTTCCTTACTACACCACTGCTTGAGGTGGTCTATACATGGCTATCTGGATCAGCCTTTTTTCAGCTTGACTCTGGCGTGCCGTCGTCAGACCTTGCTGGACTGGACATCGTGGGGTGGCCTGGAATGTGACCTTCAGGCACAGGGTTCCACTTTTGGCGCTTTCCAGGCATTGCAAGCGGCAGGCTAACTCACTATTTCCATCGTTTGTCACCGTTTACATTTTCCAATAATATCAGTTTTGCCAAAGAATGAGGGAAACACTGAGGGATTGAGTGCTGCCTGGATCCACTCGAAGTGTTGTGTGTGTGTGCTCTGCATTCTTTCCTGCCGTTCATCATAGTGGAAGTACCACATGGCACTCCCATCTCTGGTCTGTTCCTACTGCCCGTCTACAGTGACCTGGTTGCCCCCGGCTGTCTGACCCTCATCACCCACTAGCAGCCTGGGTATGTGACTACCTGAGGCCTTGCCTTGCACTTTGGACCTAGTTACATCGCCGCAGCATTGTGGTAACATGTGCACATAGAGTGAGGGGGCAGTTCTGCTGCTACTGTTGAGCCCAGGCCATACTCCTAATAATTCTGCGATTTGTCTACTCAGTATCCTGAATAGACAAATGAGTATTCAGGGCACTGACACAGGAGACAGTCGCCTATCACATCATCGGCCTGCAGTCACTCAATACTCTAGGCTGTAATTGCTACCAAAGGTGCTTCAACAAAGTACTAAGTAAAGGGTTTGGATATGTTTGCCAATGTGATTTTTTTTTTTTTCAGTTTTTTTGCCATTATGGGACACTGAGTGTAGATTAATGAGAAAAAAGAAAAAATTATATATATATTCACACACACCATCACATTATAACCACCAGCCTAATATTAAGTAGGCCCTTCTTATGTCCCCAACATATGGACTACACTAGACCTCTGAAGGTATGCTGCGGTATCTGGCACCATGGTGTCAGTACCAGATCCTTTAAGCTCTGTCGGTTTGAGAGTTGGGGCCTCCATGTATCACACTTGTTTTTCATGCACATTCCACAGATGCTGGATTGGATTAAGATCTGGAGAATTTGGTGGCCAAATCAACACCTCACTGGTTGTGCTCCTTTAAACCATTCTGTAACCATTTTTGCAGTGTGGCAGAGTGCATTATCCTGCTGTAAGAGGCTACTGTCGTCAGGGAATGCCGTTTCCATGAAGGGGTGTACTTGGTCAGCTAAAATGTTTAAGGCCTGGTTCACACCTGTACGTTTTGTAGCGCGTTCAACGCTCTACAAAACGCTCAAACCCCCAAAAATCCCATTGTTTCCTATGGGTATGGTTCACACCTTGCCGTATTTCAGCCCATCTGAACGCGCTACAAAACGGCCTACGCCTGAAAAGGTACATGAGCTTCTTTGCGGCATCTTTGTAGCGCGTTTCTATTGGGATACAGCCAAGTAGCCCTCGGAAACGCGCGTTTGTCGCATGTTTTTAACCGCGAATCACGGTAAAAATGCGCGTCACGAAACGCGCGACAAACGCGCATATTCGATACGCCTCGGTGTGAACAGAGCCTAAGTAGCTGGTATGTATCAAAGTAACATCCACATGAATAGCAGGACTCAAGGTTTCCCAGCAGAACATTGCCTAAAGTACCACAGTGCCTTTACCAGCTTGCCTTCTTCCCATGGTGCATCCTGGTGCCATCCCTTCACTAAGGTCAACGACACACACCCAGCTATCCAAATTAATGGCAGTTCTGATGTTCACGTTTTGGCAGTGGACACGTGTCTGCATGGGCACCCTGAACGGTGTGCGGCCACACAGCTCCATACATAACAAACTGCGATGCTCTGTGTGTTCAGACACCTTTCTTTCTGAACCGGCATTATCTTTTTCAGCAATTTGAGCTACAGTAGCTCTTCTATTGGATGGGGACTACACGTGCCAGCTTTCTCTCCCAATGTGCATCTTTAAGCCTTTGGACGCCCATGACCCTGTTGCTAGTTCACTAGTTTTCCTTCCATGGACCACTTTTGGTAGGTCCTGACCATTGCAGACCAGGAATATCCCACAAGAGCTGCAATTGTGGAGTTTTTCTGACCCAGTCGTCTAGCCATCACAATTTAGGTCTCGTCAGTCGCTGAAATCCTTACACTTGCCCATTTTATTTGCTTCCAACACATCAGCTTCAGGGACAAAATGTTTACTTGCTCCCTAATATATCCCACCCACTTCCAGATGCCTTTTGTAACAAGATAATTGCTCACTTTATATTTGTATATATCTATTAGAAAAACTTTCATTGTCTTTGAAATGCATGCCTGTGAGAGAAGCTGCAAGAGGTGTGCAGCTGGTAAGAGTTGCACTGTTCTGCTTTCCTAAAACTGTGATGTAGCTCAATGATTAACTATACATTTACATTCCAGCTGACTGCAGAACAACCATTTTAAATGCATTTCGTACGAAATACCTGCAGTAATAATAAATCACTGCTTAGTACAATAAAATACCAAATACAGTGCTGAGAAAAAGGGTAGTTACACTTACCAGTAGGTAAGGTCTTCAGGTCTGCTTAGCACATACAGCTTAAAGCAAATATGGCATTAAACTAAGTAAATTAAGTGATTTTCTTTTAGCCGATTACACGAAGGCAACAATTGCTTCCATGCAGTATCTTAAGACCAAATAAAAGGTTAGCACAAGTAAGATAAAGGAGAAAGATTTGGCATGCATGCGATGATTCAAGCTGCAGCTTTTAGAACCTGATCCACTTTTCTAAGAAGCTGCGTTATGCTGCTTAAAAGCTTCTTTCCAGACCTCTGTTGACTGTGCTGTAAAGTGCTTTCTAGATCCAGAGCCTTGGCAAGGACTCTTTAAGGAGTGGGCTGAGCACCGGGAACTACTTTTATTTGTTTAGACCTCTTGGGTGCCATTATTATCCCATTTATAGAAGGAGATAAATTGTTAAGAAATGTGTGTGACCTTTCACCAAGTGATGCAGGATAGTCTGCAATCTTGTCCTTTCATTCAGCGTAAGGTAGCACCTTACTGATGCTGCTCTTAATTGCATGCGACACGCAGTTCCATCTCAGCTCTTTTTGCCATCTACAGTACCTGGTCATATGAGAACCTTTGAACCTTCCCAGATTTCAGCAGTCTGTTTGTGGATATTCAATGTATTACAGCTAAGTTGTCCCTGTTTGCAGTGCACATGACTGCTCCTAAGCACAAAGGGAGCAGTCTTTATGTACTGGATGCCTCAAGCTTACAGTTCACCCACACTTTCCAGTCCAGGCTTTAGAGTTGTCAAGGATCTGACATCTACAGTGTGGAACATTCTCCCTTGCTTGAGACCTTGTATTACTTGGAGTCCACCCTGACACTGTCAAATGTAGCCCCCTCCTCTGCGTTATACGGAGATGATTTCACTGCAGTAATGCAGAATTTTATCGGCCAAATTGCAATTATAATTACTAACTCTGGCCATAGAGAATATACGCATACCTCAACACCTTCCCCTGCAGAATCATTATGTAACCTGCCTGTGGCCTCCTAACCCTTAACTGTTGGAAGCTCTATATGATGAAAAGTCTCCAAAATCCTTGCAGGATGAGATTGCCCTTGAGGAGTCTGCGATGGGTCCCAGGTTAAGAGAGACCCACTTGGCTTTTATCAATGTGCTCCATGCAAACCTAAAGATTGAGGAGCAGCCTCTAACTGCTACCAGAAAAAGATTTACAGATTCCCTGGAGAAACCTGTTTGGTCATGCATTTATATACTGTGGTTACGAATACCACTGTAATGAATCAGCCTCAGTCTGTAACTATAAAGCATATACAGAAAAAAAACCCTGCAAATAACCCCCTGCATTAGAAAATACACAAGGCTAAGACGTTACTTCAGACCGTACCAAAAAAAAGAGTGTATAAAACGGTTTAATGATAATAGCACCTGTATGTTGCACCACTATAAGGTCTTCATTGCTGCCAAACAACACCATACATGTAGCTAATTCAAACGTGTCTAATGAAATCCAATGCAGCTGGTAATTGCTCTTTAACCAGTTGACATCCGCTGTGTTAAACCCCCTTCCCATCCAGGCCATTTTTCAGTATTCAGCGCTGAGGTACTTTAACTGACATTTATTCCGTCATGCAGCGCTGTACTGAAATGAATTTTATACCCTTTTTTGGGGACAGATATGCTCCCCCTGACTACCCCATAAACAAAAAACTCTTGGGTACGTAAAAAAAAGATCATTGCAGTGGCCCAACTACCCTACCCCCTTCCCCTTGCTTTAAAGGGTTACGTGCTCATTTCTTTTAGGTGGTAAAGGAATAAGCATTTATACTCTTGCCGCCTCCTCTGCACTGTATAACCGGTTTGCATTTGCCACTTTGCCAGTCACAGGCATTCCAATGTCATCCCGTACAATGCAGGACCAGCCGTCCTGCATTGGGTTAAGGCCCACCCACATCCCAGACTGTTGGAGAGCGCTGGGTCAGCAAGGAATGGGTTAATGATATCTTCTTATTCCTCTACCCCTTGACTAAACCAACATTTAACAATTGCGGTGTGAGGGGAGCCCAGTTCTCAAGGGTCATTATTGTCACTAAACTAGAAGTTCGGCTTTAAAGATCTATCTAATGCTGCAAAAGTCACTGACCTTATGTGGTTTTAAAGTTAATTCTTATAGATGCTTCAATAATGTGTGGGAATATTTTGTACTAAAATTATTTATTTTCTTTTAGATCTTTTATGACTTGGTCAGACAGATAAATAGGAAAACACCAGTGGAAAAGAAAAAACCTAAAAAGAAATCTTCGTGTTTGCTGCTTTAGACTCTCTTTAAGCAGCAGATCTGAGCCAGGTGAATATAACATTATTTCCTCTTAACATACAGTATATGTTTTTGTGTATACATATTTAGCAGTTGTAGAATAGTTATGGAAATTCTTGTTTGAAGCAGAATCTTTGCACTGTAGGTGACTTTGCTCCAAAATTTGGGCCTTTTTATAGTGGTAGACGACTGAATTATTCTGAAGCCAGGAAATCCAGCCTAGAAGCAAGCACATACTTTAAAGTTGAACTCAAGCCATAACTTTTTTTGGATAGACAATAGGTTTTAGAACATCTCGCCTTTTGTATTGTCATCGGTTCCCCCATTTGGAGGATTGCCAGAATAGCAAGTGATTGCAAATCTTTTTTAACGGGGATACAGGCAAAAGCAAACTTTTAGATATATGTCCGAAGTACCTTGTACCTAATATGAATCAAATGAGCTGCAAGCTTATATCATGCGTGTGTGAAATCACACTGTTTTATAGTATAGTGGAACTTATATACAGTATGTACTTCTTTTTTTATTATACTTGTATTCCACAGCATGGCACACACGTGATACAAATTTGTCTATTTCTTCATGTCCTGGTAACAACCTCGCCTCCCATTTCTTATTAGGTCAGCACAGGGGCAGTAAGTGAGCGAAAGCCTCCCTAATGGTGTCACAGACAGAAATAAAAGCCATACAGAAATTTAAAACTTTCCTCACTTTTATCTAAAACCTAAAGAAAAAAAAAATCAGGCTTGCATTTACTTTACCTAGATAAGGTTAACCATTATAAACTTATCCAAGAATTAAGTTGCACAGTGTGTATGCGCCAATGAAAAATCAGCTAAATATCTAAGAACCAAGATCATTTGTACTTTACAAACAAAATGCTTTGGCGAGCTGGATAAGCACATTTTATATTGCTTAATACCAATTCAAAAACAAATATGTAATATACTGTTCATGAATCAAATACGAGTGTTTGCTTTGTCCAGACCAGGCAGAAATAATAGGTATCATCCAGTTCTGAATCTTTGGCCTGCAGAGTTGAATGCATTTAAACCTTTACATTGTCAACTTTCATATAGTCAGGTTTTAGGAATTTCCACATACTTTTGATTGCAGATCAGGTGGGGGTAGTGTGAGCAAGTGTGCAAAAATGTGTTGTGGCACTCATCCAGGGCAAGTATCAGATTGTTCTGAAAGCATGAGTCAGCATGGCAATTGGGAAGCTAGCATTTCAGCATGGACGCCTCCATACTTCTTCTCTATACATTTCCTTAAAAAATGGGGGGGGAAGAATCGGGGCATGGTGGCATTATGTAGATACAAACATCTAAACGTTAAAATGCATGTGTTTGATTTTTTTCTTTTCTTTTTTTGTAGAGTACAGGAATGAAGAACTGTTGCCTAGTTGGAAAGTGCCAGCATTCCAAGATGTAAAAAGATATCCAACCTTAATTTAACATATCTGAAGAGGTTCCTTTTTATTTTATATATTATATAAACAAATTTAGATCTCCAATACTGTTTGCACAAGGTTCCCTGGAAATAAATCGACTGTTTCTCTCTGAAAACAAGACACCACCATGTCAACTATTGCAATAGTGTTGACAACAGATGTGAAAATAAAGATACTTGACTCCATTCTGAATGATTGTGAATGCATTTCAAATGTTACATATTGCTAGATTAATTACATGATTTTCATATTGACTTTCAGATCCTGTTTGTAGTCATGCTTGTGTCGAGCCCTAAAATGTAGCCATTTATAGTTTTTCTTTATAAATATAGATATATAAATATATATATTCCCTTTAATGATCTCAATGGGGCTAATACCTTTGAGTCACGGTGACTTCATTTTATATTTAAATCATACAAGTTTGTCATTGCTATCATCTTGCCATTATAATTAAGCAAACATTTTGTGTACAATGGTTCTGGGGAGGGATGGTGATTTCTTTTATAGGAAAACTGGGAAACTGATTTCTATGGATTTCAAAACTGAAATATATAATATACTAAACTCTAATATTGCTTCTTGTTTTACTGTCACAGATTAAATTACAACTTTTATGAATGATTAAATTTTAGTACATTTTCATTTTTGTGATTGCGTATTTTTTTTCTTTTTTTTTTTTTTGTAAGCCACCCAATTAAATTTCCACTGTCATGTTTTATTTTATCTCAATAGTTATTTGTGTGCCTTATTTAAAACAAAAAAAATGTCAGTTACTGAATTGTACTTAGGATAACTAATAAATATAACCTATTTTACAAACACATTCCCCATGATAATCCATTCAATTAGACTTGTTCTACCTGATCAGTTGTTTTTTTTTTTTTTCCTCTGGTAACAGAGTGGGGAAGGGAAAGAACCTTTTTTTTTCCACTGATCTTATGTAAAGGATAACATTTTCATGAATGAGAAACCACTAATTTTTAGATGCCAAATAAAGTTTGTCAAAGCTTTGACCTGATCCCTACCTAAGGAATTTTGTGTTTTTTGTTTTTTTCCTGGAGGTATACATGGTGATCATAGATGGATGCTTGTGGCAATCCAACCTGGTGAGGAGGAAATCCCATTGATGCTAGTCTCTTTTTGGTGCCCATGTTGAAACCAACAAAAATTGATACCCACGCTTGTGCATAATTATGCTATGAGCACTTGTAACTATTCTAGTTATAGTTCAGTGTTGTTTAGACTGATTTTAGGCAATGCATTACCTTTATAATTCTTAGGGCTTTACTTTTAAGTCGGATATGCTGTTGGGAACTCCTCAAATATTATTGATTAAATGCTAGAAATAAACTTAATTCAATTTTTAAATTCCCGTTTGTGACACTACAAAATGTGGAAAAGCCAAATATTCAAATGAAGTACAGTACACTAATTTCATTTCTGCTCAGGAGGAAAATCACATACGATGCTGAGCAACTACTTTTGGATTTCTGTAGGGTCTATAGGAAACCTGTGTATGGGAACTGCCATTTGTGACCTATTTTTACTATTGGTATTACTGATTTTAAGATTTAATCAGTCATCTATAGTAAACACATAGAGCAATGGTCTTCTTTTGGTATAAGTTATACAAGGGTTACGTGGTAGCATTCATTGGAGCACAAAGTGATCATATGAGGTCAAGGCAAAATTATATTTTAGATATTCAGTATATCTTGCGAATATATGCACATTTACCCATTTTCGTTCTCTGTAAAGCCCATTTCCACCTTTGCGGACATATGTTTTAAAAATAATCTAATGCATGCAATGTACACCAAGTTACATGAAGCAGGCATATGCAGTTGCTGTATATGAACACAAACTGTTTTTTGTTTGTTTTTTTAGCTGTCCTCATGGCTCCTTTTTTTTAAAATATCCACCCTGTGTAAATGAACACTGTCTGAGCTGTCTCCCCCATTCATTAATATTCATAGTGGCCTCTCGGACAGTGTATTGTATCCTGGAAAGGCAGAGCTGGTGTGCAGTGATCCTTACAATGACTCAGGGAGGGGGTCAGCTGCTTTACAATCTGACCCCAGTGTCAGACAGTTTCCTGTGGTAGGAATTTTTTATTTGTATGACTCAGGCCTACTAAAGTCAATAAAAATTAAAAATCCTGCAATGTTAATCATGAAAATGTACATGCATATACATTATCATTGCACCCTTACATTACTACAATAAATGTTATACACATACAAATGTGGAAATGAGATTTAACCATGCTGCAAGTACAAAAAATAACTTGATGTGCCAGAAATATAGTATGCACCGACCTTCCTCTTTGACATGGCAGCACAGCTCTGAATTATTAAGCAGGTGGTGTCAGATCAGCCCTGCCTACTACATTTCTGATGGATAACAAAGAACAAATCCTATCCTAATCTCCATAACTTTGTGTACAGACTGAGAGCTCAGGGCGATATTAGCTCACAGGATTTTTGGCAAAAGCAACATATATTGTTTGCACTTCTTGGACAGATATGACAAAACACATTCAGTGGTATGTTTAGCAGACCAAAAGCAAGCAAATGGATCCATTGTTGGGGTGTACATAGGTTTTATTTGCTACTACAGGCTATTTTTGTAGAGTACACTATAGGGAGACATTTGTGCCATCTGTTTACTGATTGATTTATTAGCATGATTGAGCTACTGTAAATTTGTGTAGCTGTACCCTTGATGAGCTCTAACACCTGTCACCTTTAGAAATGTATGAGGAAACACCTCACAAAGAATAGAAAGTCCTTCTGCCGAACTGACTGAGTTCTTCTGATCATTTTTTTTTTTTTTTTTACTACTTCTCAGGAAGGTACCGTAAGATTTGTCCCTGATCCTTGCCCTCCAAAACCCTTCATAAGAAAGCTGGAGGAGGAGGCCTTGTCTAACCCCCCCCTCCCCCTCCTGTTACAGTGCCTGAGAAAAGCCAATTTCAGAATTGCCACCTTGCAGGCATTCCAGCTAGTTGGTGGCCACGACTGCTTTCCCGTTTGCCCTGAGTTCCAGGTTTTCCCTGCAGTGCATACACTGTCTGTACCAGGGGTGGTGGAGTTGTAGGGGCATGTACTGGAAAGAGTAGAAACGCTTTCATGTCGGCTGCTCCAGTTCCCGCTAGCCACCCCCAGCAATGGAGGAATCAGTGGCTCCAGGTGCCTCCGTCTTGAGTGACACTGGGCATCACTTCTGGGTGGGGGTCAGGTAATGTGTGGTTGAAGAAGACTGGAAGGGCTCGCTGGTGCCTTTTTTTGACTCCCAGCATCAGCTGCAAGGCTGCCACTTATGGAGGAACTGATGCTGCACTACGGATGACTCTGGGAAGACTACAGCTCAGGTTAATACAGACGTACCCACCACCGACAAGGTCTAGCACTACCTCACTACAAAACTCACATTTTGTATATGACTATATGTTGAGCGTTACAGTGCATGCATTCATATGTGTTTTCATATACTCTTGTAATGAAAAAAAGGCCTCAGTCATGAAGGGGTTAAATGAGTTGCTTTAAATTGTTATTAATACTGAACAATTACCTTTTTAAAAAAATGTATAAAAATGCTTTCCTGTAAAAAGCAGTTAAAAGTAAATGAATGGCCCTGTATCTTGGTTTGTAATGTGGCCCACATTTTTTCTGATATTCAACCACTAGATGGTGTTATATTCATGATATAAGCATACTATGTTGTAAAGTAGAGACCACTCTACAAATGTAAGCAAGGACAGGGTCCAAGAAAAATACATGCAACAGTCTTTTCTGCCAGTCTTGGGCATAGGGAATCCAGCAAACAAATACATGTATACTGATAAGTCCAACTCTGTCTTTTCTTTTATTCCTTATTTTACCTCACAAAACAATAATAGACCTGTTGCTATTTTTTGCCTTTCTCTAAAGACACATCACCAAACACTGAGTAAATCTGTGATTTACCCATTCAGTGCAAAGCAATAAATTCACATTAATGCAGACCTCCACACACACGCATATATTGACCTTCATTTCACTCCAATTCTGCCACCAGAAGCAAAAGCAAAGTTCTATGTGAGCTAAAAGACACCAGAGCAGTAGTTCACACAGAACTATGGACTCTCCTCTGACAGTGCTGTTTGTCCCAGATGTCAAATGGGTGAGCTGCACGCTCCTCTATACTTGGAAGTAGGGGATGAGCAAAGTGCCTGAGTTTCACTCAAAGGGGGTTAGTCAAATACTGCATTAAGTCTTAAAAAACCTTGAACTTAAAAATTGATGTTATTTGAAGTTTATGGGTCTGGCAAATTTTGATACTACATTCTAGCCATATTCAAGGCTAATAGACAAGGTATTGTCAAAAAAGGCCATGGGGAGCTAGGTACTGCAATAGGGGGATTTTAACAAAGCAAAAAAAAATTAAAAAGTACCATAAAGTGGGGAGAGGGGCCTAGTTTAATTGAGACTTTGAGGACAGCATGGGTAAAACAAAAACAGTCCTTTTAATCATATGCTTGGGAGATGTATTTAAGCTGTATGTAATGTTATGGAACAGAATGATTTTCACAGATCGCATCAGTGACCATGTATGTTGGCATTGCATATTTTGGATGTCTAATTGATTTTTCAACTTTTACATTTAGCTTTTCTTAAATACAGCAACACCCCAATCTGATTCAATTTAACTTGGAAAAAAGGCTTTTTTTAGGCAGTTGTGGCAGTAATAGGCCCAGACTGAACAATGGAAGTAGCATATACAACACATCTAAAAGCTATAGAAATGTTTCCTAAAATATAAAAAGCTACATTTCTCAACTTTGTAAAGATTGGCTAGTGCCAAAACAATTTATTAGTATAGTTTGTGAGCTTATTTTTCACAGCATCACACTGCATTGTATTAAAAGTTTAATAAAATGTCAAAACAGTGCACACAAATACTTCAAAACCCTCCATTCCCTGAATCCCTTCCCATTCCCATATCCCCAATTATTTCCAAAATATTTAAAGTATTGATTTTTAGGCATGTGTTTGGTAGAAATTGGCTAATGTCAGGACAGCACTCAAGCATTTGAATAGGTAGCAAATAGAAAATGACAAGGCAGGATTTTTCTTGCAATAAAAAGATAAATAGAGTAGCATAGAGTAGATTATCTGAAAGAAAAAAGCTACAAATATTGTTCAGTGGTTGCTCAGTTTGTAAGCTGTTTGATTAGGTCACAATACAAGAGGTAGAGAGGAGACGGGTTTTATCTTGAAATAAAAATTTGGAGCATATTATTTGATAGAAGTTAACCACAAATATTGTACAGAGACTGGACAGTATGTAAGCAACTTGATTAGGTCATAATGTAAGAGTGAAAGACAAAGCAGGTTTTTTTCTTGAAATTTAGGTCACAATGTAAGAGGGAGAGAGAAAGCAGGTTTTTTCTTGAAATAAACAGTATTTTTTTGGGAAACAATAGCCACAAGTATTGTCCTGCTACTGTGGACAGTATGTAAGCAACTTGGTAAAGCTGCCATTAGAGACACAGAGACAAGACAATTTTAATCTTAAAATAAGCATTCGAATGTATTATTTGAGAGGCAATATCCACAAATATTGTGAAATTTAGGTCACAATGTAAGAGGGAG